AACAGATTTACTTTGCTTAGTAAGAAAAAAAATATTTTACTCCATTCTATTTCAAAACTCTAAAAGATTATAGGAATGAAAAATTTAAACTGTATTACTTTTTATATGAAAATATGATACTTTACATCAGATTTGAAATTTATGCGTATGACTATTCTAGAAATTTCTTCAATATTGTAAATAACGAGATCTCTTGTGATTCATGATAAATCTATACTTTATTTCGAAAAAAAGAAGAGGAAGGATGTATATATACATTAGAATGCTAGCAATTCAAATAAAAATACATAATTTAGTAAAGAAATCAGCGTTAAAACGAATATTTCTACGAGGAAATAAATATCAATGATTTTTAGAAGAGGAATTTTTTTTGTGTTGCTACAGGGGTTAACTTTTCGCATGATTACATGCGTTAAAGGAGGGTGTTTTTATGAAAACTACATTGATTAAGAGCAAAGTTAAGCTTTCAAACTAATTTTTTTTAATTGGGAGCATAAAACTTATTTCTATTTAGAATTTAATTTAAAAGTATTATTCAAATAAATCACAGAAGTATTTGTCTAGAATGCTTTTACATTAAAAAATACATATAGGTACAATGTGAGTACTGAGAAATACTTAAAAACTTAAGTAAAACATAAACTTCATTCTGTAATTGATCTAAAATTATTTTTGGGTAGTGCTTTATAAATAGAAATTCAATTTAATATATTGATGCCTCAGGAGCATTTTCAGGTTTGAACAATATAAAATAATCTTTTCAAAGTGTAAGAAAATTTTATTCACAAGCAACAAATATTTGATTTAAATAGTCAAAAGATCAGTAGCGTAACATAAACCACTGTAGCCCATGTATAGCGGGGAGGCCCAGGACTCTAGGGGACCCAAAGGTTATGGTTTTGCAATCCTTTGTAAAATCCAACTTGGGGCCTAAAATATGACTTTGTAGGAGGGCTCTAATATTCTCTATTACGTCACTGCCAAAGATCTATTTGTTTTACTGAATGTCTCGATCTTTCACGATTTCAATATGATTCATTTCCCAACTGTATTCCAATACAAAAGCAATTACAAAATATAAACACCAGAAGGCTAGTAATGTATAAAATTTAAAAGCTAGTGGTACTAATGATATAACAAATTTCAATTGTGAGGTGGGAATTCGATAGTGCATATAAGTAAAAGGTCTTATTTTTCAGCTCAATAAATTAAAAAGGAGCAAAAACAGCAATAACTTAAACCTTTTGTGTGGACTGGATTGCCCATTTAAAGAATATTAGCTGCAAGCGTAACTGCAATTGTTGCTTACTCAAAAAAATTTTCATTTTAAAGAAATAGAATTATAGCTTCACCAAAACAGAAAGAAGAGTCATGAGATGAAGTATAACTATTCACTAGGTGTTCTCAATCAGAGATATTAAAGTCTAGACTCCGCTTTCTTATGAAAACATTTTCAGTGGTTAACTTGTTTTTTTTAGCAACATTTTTTCTAGTTAAAATATAAAAAAGACAGAAAAATATTGGAAAAGATGATGATAAAAGGTTTGTGTTCTTACTATTTTATGCTTTCTTTTTTTTTTTTACCCAAATAACCTGGAAAAACCTGGTATACACTAAGTTAATTCTATATAAAGAAATAAGCAATATATATATATATATATATATATATATATATATATATATATATATATATATATATATATATATATATGTATAGGAAAGGTGTACCATTTGTGCGCCTAACGACGGACTATCGTTGAATAAATAAATAAATTATAAATTATACAACGGTTCATATTCATTGCTTAAATTGTAAAACTATAATTTACATATATTATATTGCTCTAGTTATTTGTTCTTTTTTTTCACAAAATTTATTCTTTGCGCTATTTTTCAGTTAAATTCTTCACTGATGCTGCATCTTCTAACACTTAATTGATAAAGTCCTCAGAGATTTTGATAAACCTGCAGCTCTTGCAGCTTTCTGGAAAGTTAAAAGTTTCATTGATTGTTAATAAGTCTTTGTATGAGACAGCGCCTTTCTTCTCAGGCAACGATTCCAGTCCAATAGAATTTTTCTGCGAGAACAATACTATTTAAACCGTGTTGATGACATTATATGAAACGAAGCACATGGTTGTCAATTCAGCACGTACGGCATTTACAAAATCGGGGTGCCAGCTTAGTGAGTTATCTTAATTGGCATTGTTGCGATAGTACGAAATAAATCTATTACAACGTCACGAAAAACTTTTTTTCATATATATAAAGAGAAAACAACAACATTGTACTTTCAATACCAGGAACATTTTACAAGTTTTGAAATGATAAAGTACTGAACTGGACTGAAGATCAGTAAACAACAGAATTACTTGTAATCAAATCATTAATATGCTTTTCAAAAGTTTTCTTTCTGCGAGGAAGAAAAAACATTGTTTCAAAGAACTAGTGACGGATCTTTTTGTGTCCTTTTATTAATTCTCTTGGGAAATCTTTGGTCAATCAATGCGTGTTTATTCACAACCAACCCTCTGAAGAAAAAACCTTGATTATTTAAATTAGGTCGGCTATATATAGTCCAGGTTTTCTAGCTAAGGGAGAGAGAAAGTGAGGAGATAGGATAGATTGTTGCTGATCAAGTACTATTCAATTTTATATTTCAGATATCGAATAAGTGAAAGAATTAAAGTGACGATTGGTCACTACAGTGTAATTAGTGATCGGAAAAATTGCAAAGTAGATTCGATCTAGAATTGAGTAGGTCGATATTTAAAGTCTTCTCATAGTTCGCGTATTTCGTTATTAATCCACATATTGCTTAATTTAAGAACAACTCTTCTCTTTGAAATTATTTAATTGTGTTGCTAATTGTGTGATCAATAAATAGATTGTTTCTGGATATGACTAGTCATCCTTCCCTTCCCCCACATTTTTAGGCGAGAACAAGCGAATATCTGGTTCTTCACAAACTGTCTATATAGATATCAAGATTATTGGCATGAAAAGTTCAATACTTTGCCAAGCTCACACATAATATTTTTAAAATTATTTCTTAAAATAGTTTCTTTTGAAGTAAAGTTATTAGATTAATGAAATTGTTTATAATTTATTCTAATCAAATTTAAAATAATAAAAATATAGATATGAGGGAACTTAAAAACAAATGTAAGAAATTTCATAGTTAAACTATTCACAGACATATGTAACATGTAATCGATTTAATTGTTAAATAAACACCTTCTCAATTTAGAATCTATCAGACACAATATTTACATACAGTTTTCTATTTAATCAAATAATTGTAAATCATTTATAAACATCCTCTTAAAGATCGACGAAGTGCAGGACTTTTATAAATCATAAATTAATCGAGGAATTAAGAAATTTTAAATACTAGAAGCAAAAGAAATTAATAACAAATGACATTAAAGTAGGTAATTCGTGATTTTTTTTTTATCTATGAACAGAATAAATAGAATTGTTAAATTTTACTTGAAGACATATGTGTCAATTTTACTTCAAAAGTTTGAAGTAATTAAAATGCACGCATACGTACGAGCATTTATGATTAATACGATATCATAATTTCCCCTTTTTATTTAAATTAACTCAATTTATTTTGCCCTTTGAAATGTTTGTGGAAATGTAATTTATTTTTACAAATGTCAATTTTAGATCATAAAATTGCTCCCGTAACAAATTTATGTACCGATTGCACAATGATGCGAAGTGTTTTTCCGAAAAAGAAGGAATTCTGAGAATTAACATATTTCTTAAAAGAGACCTGGGTTAATATGTTTAGTTCTTACACTAAAAATATTCCAATTATGTAACTCAACGATATTACGTGACCTTACATAATTAAGCAATGCCACGGTTGTCTTAATACCTAAGTCTTGTCTGTGTTTGTAAATACTTTAGTTTCCGGCGGATATGGAAGAATAATTTATAAATCCTCTCGCATTATGAACCTGTGTACTGTACAAAATGAAGATGAATCGGAAGTTGTGCCGGCTTATTTGCGTTCCTATTGACGGTAGCCTGAAGCACTTTGTATTCTTCGCAATCAGCAATCCTAAACCTAAGGACTGCTTTCTGTTTCTATGGAAACACCGATTGATAACGAAGCGGATGGCTTGCCTTCTTCAAGCGCAATCTGTGGACAATGCCAATTACTGGTCGCGGGAGTGAAAGGGTTTGTAAGGCCCATGCCGGTGGGAAGATTTGTCGTGGGTGCTTCTTTGTCTGGTCTTAATGAAGCCTGTGTTGAAGTCGTGTGTGTGAAAGGGATGGCACGGTTCTGGACTCGCGAATTCATCAATCAGCGTTAATCTTTACATAGAAGCTGGAAAATATCAATTCATTAAGTCTGCAAATGAACTGGAAACTACGAATACTTTTTACTTATTTATTTAATTTATAATATTATGCAAATATATCAATTTAATCAATATGGATCAGTTTTATATTAACCTTAAGATTTTGACACGGAAAAATGGGTAACAAAAATTAATTAGCAGGATTTGAAAAAAATGGAATGAAATTTTTTTTTTAAAAAAGAATATAAACAAATTGATTTTATTTTGTATTATGAGATTTTCATTTAATTTAATTAACAATAAATCCTTTTACAAATTTGGAATATTATTCATCTTTTCTGTCTTCAATAAATTTTATTGCATTTGGTAAAGTTAATAATTAACAAATAATAAAAATTTTTAAAGTCAATTCCTACTTAGAGCAACGAAGGAGAACTTTATTTTAGTTACTTTTTTTTAATTAAATAGTTGCAATTAATATAAATATGTATATACACATATGACAAAATCACAGTATTAAGTGGCAAAATAAAAAGCGATTTTCCTTGAAATTTTCCATTTTTCTTTCTATATATGGTGTTGGACTATTATTTTTAATTGTTACTATATATTCCTTAATTAAATTTAATTATTCCAATAAAATAGTACAGTAAAAATAAATCACATTCTCAGAAATAAGGCCATCCCAGGTGGAATTCGAACCTACTGGATTTGAAGTCCAACGCGCTATCCATTACACTACAGGGACACAACGAGCGATTTTCCTTTTTATATAAGGTGTTGGTCTATTATTTTTGTTTGTTTCTTTTATTCATTAATTAATGAATTAATATTTGAAAAAAATGTATTAACATCAAGGGTCATCCACTATAAATTTAAAAAATGTATTTGAACTTGAGTGGATGAATAAAAAGTATTTTATTAACAAGATATATATATATATATATATATATATATATATATATATATATATATATATATATATATATATATATATATATATATATATATATAGGAGAGTGTGAACTAATAGAAGGAAATGAAAAAAAAAAAGAATCATTGCTTTATCCCTGAATAGTATGTGATCAAGGGAAACCTATGCATTGATTTATTTTAAAAACTTCATAAGATGTGAATTGGTCTGATAAAATACAGTTTTCTTGTGATATTTTAACTATATTATTATTTAAGTATTAATATATTATTATTAGTAATTATTTGTATATTATTATAATAATATATTATTATTAGTAGTAGTAATTATTAGTATATTATTATAATATAATATATTATTATTATTATTAGTAATTATTAGTATATTATTAGTATATTATTTAAGTATTAATTATACTTATTAAAGTACGCGCAACTTCAAAAAAAAGCTGCTGTATGTATTTCATTATTATTGATCGCTGATATCAATGGAAGCTATTGAAATAGTTTTATAAATAAGTTAAGTGTTAAATATTATCTGATATTTTTTGAATTGAATGATTTAAGATTTTGTTGAAAAATAAAACTATAATAATTTAAGTACGATAAATTGAAAAATGTAACAGAGAAAAATTAATTTGATTTAATTTATTATACTCATAATTAATACGCAATTTCTAATTTTTGAAATACGTTTTAAGAATTAAACTAACATCTTTGAAAAAATACCAATTAGGAACAAATTCTATATTAAAACAGCAAAAAATTAATGTAATCTAGCAAGTAAATGTATTCTTTCTATTTTAAGTTCAAAAGAGTTTTAAATTATTATTTCTAAGAAAGATTTATAATGTAAGCCTGAAAAATCCATTTTTTAAAAGCACGTTAAAGTTATTGTAACAAACAAAAATAATTTTGCGTAGGTAGTTTCCTAATTTCTGTCATAATGTACCTTTTTTAGAGAAATTGTAATCTTTATTTCTCAGTTTATTCAAAAACTTTATTCTAAAATAGAATAAAACACTTAACTTTTCTTACTTTTCATCACCTTTTCTGTAAAATAGTTTCGTCGTTTGTGTTCATTTTCTAAAGAAATATTATTGTTACATCTTTTCTATTAAATCTTTCAGTAGATTGAGCCTTATTATGAGCTTATTTCTATTACTTCTTCTTTTTAGCCACCCACCTTTTAGATTGGAACTATGTATTTTTATTTAGATTACTCATGCTTTTGTAAATTAATATGAATGAGAGTTAAACTGATATAGACATTTTACAGAGTGCATGTTGCCTTTTCCAAGATATTGCTCCAAATTGTAGTTCAAATTCTAAATGTTTAGAAAACTTCTGACAATCTTAAAATATTGTTATAAATACATTTTTATTCTAAAAATAAGAAGTTAGCCTTTTTAAATGTTATGTTGGATCTTATTAGAGTTTCATGCAACGCATTTTACATGATTTAAGGTTTAATAATTTCAGAAGTATACCGAAAATCTAATGATATGTGATAGGAAACTGATTTGGATTATCTTTCATTTGGTGGAATTGTTTCCTTTCTTTTCAGTTAAACTACTTCAAAATAGAGGGGAATTTATAATAAGAAGGAGTTATATGAGGAATTAATAAACAATTTTCTTAAAGAGAATAAATACTTAAAAATTACTTTTTAATGTTAATGGATTTGTATATATATACATAGGATATTAATTTCCTTTGAATGATGATTTTTAAAAATTTTGTACATTATAGGAATACGCTGTATATTGAGCAATAACGTAGTATTTGATTTTCAAATACTACCGGATTTGATTTACTTGTTAATTTATATTAATTAAGTCCACAATTGTTTTTGTTTGTTTCATTGAGCTTAAAATTATTTACTTCTGATGATCAAATATCAAAAAGTCAATATAAGTTCATAAAGTAAAATATTAAATACCCTTTTACCATTTTTTGTGAGGAATAAATATAAGAAAGACTGGCCATTGGGAAAATGTTGCTTTTTACGCGTAAAATTCAGCTTAAATTTTATCTAAGGTAGAAAAGTAAAATACCCAAAGGAATTTATATTGCTAAAATTCGTATTTTTTAAAAATGAGTATATGAATAATAATATTCTAACGACAATTTGAAGATAAAGTGTGCATTTATTCGTACTTTCCTTTTCCTCAAGACAATTTCTTTTGAGTCTCTCTCAGCAGTTAATTTCCTTATTTGAAAATATTCAAATTGTCTTGAATGTTTGTGTGAAATGTATCTTTTGTCAAACATTTCCCCAAGGATTGTTTGAAAAAGGAGATCTAGAAACTGCGAGCTAGAAGCGAAATGGCTTCTTAAGATTAAATATGCAATACGTACACGAGAAAATATTATATCAGTGGCAGTTGTGTGATATTTCATTTACCTGTGTATTCGATATATAATAATAAAAATTGCATTACAAAACAAACTGAGAAATTCTCAAAAAATCCAAAGAAGAATTTCAGGTTTAAATTAATTATGCAATATATTTTACAATATAGATGGATTGCACTTCATTGATGTTTTTCAACTGCTTTCTTTGTTTCTAGAGATATTTTTTAAAATAAGGAAAAGAAAGAAATCTCAAGTATATTTCTAGTGTAATGTATCGTATTGTATGTTTATAGTTAATTTATTTTTCTTCGTATATTTGTATTACTCATCGTGATAATTTTAATCCAGTAAAAATTTAATACTTATTACTTTTTTAACATGATTGCTATTATACCACGATACATAAAAGAACAATTAAACGCCAAATGCGTAGGTTCTATAATGGTTTTTAGAAGAAAGAATAAAGTTGGAAAAATTGGAAGCTGCTCACAAACGCTTGTCCTTCACGAAAGAAATTTTATAACTTATTTGCATTTATGTATTGAGAAGAAAAATATGAATCAAGTAAGAAATTGATGATAAGTTAGTATTAGTTTGTGATGGGTCCTGTCCACGCCCTTTTACTAATTCTCATGGGGAAAAATACTTCTTTAGCTGTTGTTTGAGTTTTAAAAAAACCGCCTTCTGTAAAAAAAATTTGATTTTATGCTAATTTTGATTGCTATTTAAACTCTAACAAAGTAAGTGTTAGAGTAAGTAGTTATGCTGCTTTTTTAGTGAGATTAGTGAAGTGACTACCACAAGAATTGGTGTTCTTGAAAAGAGGCTTTTGACCGGAATATCCAATTGACCCAAGAGATACTTGACGAGTGCTGTTACATTGGATCTTACTCAATCAAGTACATAATTATTTGTCTTAGGAATTTAGGATAGCCGTGTAATTTGACTGATTCCTCTTTGTAACATTGCTTGATATTAACTTTGTTATTTTTATAACGATGTCTGTTCATTCGGTGGGAAAATACATCAAAACAATTAGGTTGAAATATAGTTCGATATTTTCATGCCTTGTGATGAAGCGTGATGACGATCGATGCATCAGCAACTGTTAAGCATGCAGTTGTTAACTTTCAAAGAATCATTGTTTATTAGCATGGCTGTCTCAACATAAGTACGAAAAACATGATCGATTTAAATGAAAAAAAAAATTATGGAATTACCAATGAATAACTCAACCCAAAATTTATAAACAGCCGATATACGCAAGTAAATTTTCTGCATCTTAAGTGATAAAAAACCCACTCGGGAAAATAAGTAACGGAGAATTATGAGAAAAATTCTGTGTTTCAGATTTCCAATACAAAAACCAGAAAACGATGTAAAGTTGTTCAAGGAAGGACCACGAAAACAATATTTAAAGAAATGTTCTGCACTATCATTATCCTGACCAAATAAATAAATCCCTTCTTTTTCTGAATAGGGTAGCATGAGATGAGAAAATGAGTTACGAAACATCAAAATTAATAACTGCGATAAATTGTCATATTTCCAATAAAATATTTCAGCTATCAAGCATGTCTTCTCTTCGTCGTTAATGATAAGTACAGATTGAATATAAGAGTGAAATTACTTGAGTGCTTCTGATAAAATGTTTCTAGAGATAGTAGTTTGTGATAATCGAATACAACATGCTTAATTATCCCAATTTTTTACATTTTTCTCTGCTTCTTCGGAAGTGAATTACAAGGATAGATACTTTTGCAAGTAAATTACTTGCTAAGATTTATTTTTACCTTCAAGAATTACAATAATGATACACATGTGTGTTGCTTACTTTTATATACGTTTAGATTTTTCCCCCATCCATATTTGGTATCTTTTATTTTCTACTTTTCTGTTTTCGAACCACAAAAGAAATTCCACAAATCGGGGGAAATGAAGTTTCTTGAGAAATAATACACAAATGTATATATAATCAAAAGATTTAGAGTTTTCCAATAGCTAGAAATAATTATGCCTGCAAAAAAATGAGTACTCCTGACGCAAAATTAGTATACCTCTGTTTGGATATTAGTAGTAATCAATAAAAAAAAAAAATAAAAAGGAAGTCTGTAATTTTTTATTCAATTAGTTAGAACAATATGGGATTATCTTTTACGTATAACACTAAATGCTTCTGCGTTACATTTTGGTATATATAGCTTGAATTTGAAATCATCTAAAACATTACATAATTTCTCTCATTATTCTTATACAAATTTCAAAATTACAGTAGAAAATTATGTGATTAAAATTTACGTTAATTTGTATTTCGTAACTGGAATTATTTTATATTTTTGTTTATTTGGTAGTTTTAATTTGCAGAGTAAAATTTTCCCGTTATTTAAAGCTTTGAAAACAACATAGGATTTTAAATACGTAGCTCCTTTGTTTTACAATTTTATGAAATTTAAAATA